TATTCTGCTTGTTGCCACATGTGTAGGCATACACATATGATTTTTAAAATTAACCAGGGTGATCGAGTGTGCTGCCTCGCTCAGGCATCTGACAGTTACTCCTGCCAAGTTTTATATCAATATACTGAGATCTGAGGCGGCATCCAAACCGTTTAAAAGAGATTCTTTTGAAAAAGGCTTATGTATAGTTTATGATTTAAATACTATTGCCAACATTCTTCTTTTTTTAAAAAAAAATGTTCCTCTTCAGCTTAAGAACTCACTGTAATAAACCTGGACTTGAATATTCACAAGAAGCAAAAACTACAGAGTTAAAATACAACATGAGATCCATCCAGCTATAGATTTTGATGGGCTCTTTTGATCAGCATTTCTCTAGTTTGCCAGGATCTGAGCCCTAAAAAATGAACTGTATTTTGCAGTGAAATGATATCTGATTAAAGTTTAATGATGAGATTCCATAACTGTCCTACAGCAACATGGAAATATGCAACTGAACTCTTCACATACCCTTGTGTATAACCTTTAATGCTGAAGCTAACCCTTCAGTGTACAACACAGGCAGAGACCCAGTTAAAGAACACCCTTCAGAGAACTGTCACAGACAAGGCTAAAGGCAAGAAACAGTCCAGAAAACATCCATTTCCTCAGAAGAAATTTAAAGCAGACATTATAATGGCAATCTAAGCAACTGTTAGACCAAATATTGGAAAAACCTATCCCATTGCGTTCTTTGTTGAAGGAAGACACCCAGCATTCAGTTATATCTATCCTAATTTGCCCTAATTTATTCTAATTAGGGGAATGTAAAATAAATCCGACAATCTCTTTTTCCTCCTTTTTTAAAATCCTACAGGCATTTTATGACATGAAATAAACGTCTTTACAATACTAATCTAATGTGTTCTGAATATTTCTGGAACCCAGGACCCCACGAGATTTCTTATTACTACCTCAGCGTTCTTTTAAATGCTACCAATAAACTTAAATTTGTCTGCAACCATAGTTTAAAATTTTTTTTTCATAAGTTCAAACAGAAACTCTGATAATGGCAAGTATAGAACAAATAAATAGAGTTCCATTCCACACTTTTCAGATACCCATTATGTGTCAGGAGATACATAATATCTCCATGGACATATATTTAAAGAGAATAAATTTCTCTATTTTGACTGGCTTACCCTCAATATCTATATACTAGTATTTCTATGATAAAAAAACAAAAAACAAATGATGATTGCCATCTCAAAAGTATCCAGAGACTGACTTTCTGAGTTGAACATAGTCACACTACTGGATGGAAAATATCAGGCCCTCCCCCTTCTCCTCCTTATCTTAAAATGAGAAAGAAGATTCAGGGATCACTGTCTCCTTTTATAAGCACTCTCCCTCATGGCCTTCATGTATCTGGCTTAGTATGAGGCTAGTCGAAAGGGGAAAATACATTTCTCCTAATATTCTGAGTTTTAAATGATTTTGTTCACTCTTAACCTGCCTTATTCTTTATTCTGTGTTCCTAAAATTCTTTCAGGCAACATGTGATTAAATTTATTAATATTCCCTTTTATTTTCATGTACATTTTATATTTGTTTGCCCCATTAATTCAATTATATTTTATTTATACTTAGTAGGAGGCCTTCACATATAAGATAATTTTCCTACCATTACTTATTATAATAAATTAAGTTAGGCCATGTAATTATCACCTCTCAGCTCCCAATAATCCTGTGACAGTTGCTATGATAAAATTATTTCCCAGAGGTATCATATATGCAACATTAGATTTTTGGAAGGATATTAAAGTCCCAATATAAAAAGTAATGCATTATTATGCAATATATTTCTAAAATATAATTCCAGATTAAATTGCTCAAATGTCAATACACCTATATAGAAAATTGACACCATTTTTAGTTCCTGACTTGCTTTAGGATCTGTCCATAACCCAATGCCAAGCCTTCTTCACTTCCAGTTTCTTTTCATAACTGTGATCAAATCATTTAGCTAAATCATCATGTCTTAGTTTCTCTACTTATAAATTATGGGTAATAACAATTACTTGCTATATATCATATACCTAATTGTGAATTTCAGGGTATATTCTATTTTAAAATAAATAACCACTCAATTTTCCCTTCCATTAAGTCAAATTAAAAATAGATTTTTAAAATTGAATAAATCTGCATTCTGAACTCCTTAGAGTATGTCAGATTCTTGACAAGACTCTTAATCATGACAGATTCATACAGTGAGTTTTATGAATGATATTAAGGAAAGGAAATATTTTTCCCTTCCTTTTAAGCCCTTTCATTAAACTTTCTGATGTGATAATATATATATATATATATATATATATATATATATATATATATATATATATATATATCAGGATTTTTATTCCAGTTGGGTGGGGTATGGGAGCAATAGAGAGAGAATGAGGAAAGCTAAAAACTACAATAGGGCAAGGAAACCCCTATTTTTCATGAGAATATTACCTGTAAGGGCCAAGAGACTAACAAATACTAGGCATCCCCATTGGGGATGAGAGACAAGAGTCTGCTCTTAAATTGACTTCAGAGTAGAGGTGCCAAAACAAATAAATCACTGTAAGTGAAATGCTTTGAAAGGTAAATGGGCTTTAAAATTGTTTGCGTGGGTTAAGTTTTGTAATCGGAAGTATTCATTACTGTCCGATATGGTAAAGGCACATGTCCATCCGGATCTCTGGAGATCTCCTCCTGGCAGATAATTCATTATTTTTCAACCAATACCTAGCACAGTGGACACCCCCAACAAATGTTACTGAATGAAGGAAAGTAAGCCAATGTTCAAACATGTTATGCTTCACCTACTCCAAAACTGTATTCATTTGAGTAAGAAGTAATTAAAGGCCCAAAGTTCTCAGATTCCTTCAATCCATACTCACTTTTCATCAGTAAGAATTCTGGAATGATGAGCAACCCTAAATGCCTATTTGACCCAGTTACTCAAGCACTGATAGAATAAAAAGCAGAGTAAACGTCTACTACTTAGGATCCCCTGCCTCTAGCCAAGTTCATCCTCAAAGACCCTGTCTCACTTTGTATTGTCATTGTGGTATGACTTACAATCCTAAAGCCATTATAAAGAAATCTGAGAGAAGAATGGCACTTTGACAAGTTACTTTGGACTCCATAGTGGCTCCATTCTATTTTTTCCTTTACAGCAACCTTCTGTAACTGAAGTAAAACTACTTCAGTCATTTTCTGATATGAGAAAGTCACATTTGTGGATAGGCAAGAAACAACCTATTTGTTTTCCTAAAGTTTCACTGGACACAACTCTCTGGTCATAGATCACCAAAGGCTTCTTTAATCTATAACCAGGAAGTTCCTGAATATTCATCAAGTCATCTAAAACATTGGTCAACAAGAAGTCACCTCAGTGGCTTTGTCCATATACCAAGATTCAATTACGGGAATGGCAATGCCCAAATTCCCAGGTCATTGAAAAATGAACAAGTAACATGAATTAAGCATGCAAAGCTATTGATGGTTGAGTGCATCAGTCTGGGGTCCCTGCTTGAATTCAGCCTAAATTCTGAAAGGGGGCTCGATTTTGCCTTAGCCCCAGGAATTGACCTGCCCTGCTTTGGTCTAACAGTTCTCTTAAACAGAGCCAGAAGCACCCCATATTTCTAGGCAAAATGATCTGGGGGGGGAGGGTCTTTCCTCCAAGTTAATTTTTATAAACCTCCAGAGAGATTCAGAAAGTACTGGACCAATGTAATAGCACTAAGATTGCTAATAATAACTTGGTAGAGAACAGAAAAAGGGAGAGCCAAATTGATATCTCCTTTGGGGTTCAAACTGGTCTGGAAAAAAATGTAGCAAGTCCAAAATGACTGTTCTGCAAGACCAGAGGTAGAATGGAGCCACTTCTAATTTGAAGAGTGCCACTACCAATGATGGTTTTGCTCGTTGCTAATAAAAAGAGCTGACTCAGTGAATACTCACCATTAGCCAGCACTGTCCTAAGTATTAGAACATGTCTTAATTTATTTAATCCTCGGGACAACCCTAAGAGGTAGGAATTATTATTACCAGAGATTTCATCAATGACAAAATGGAGAGGTTAACTAACTCACTCCAAGTTACTCAGTGAATAATGGCCGAGGGAGGGCCAACACCAGGTGCAGCGTTTATGTGTCTGCCCGTCCCCATCCTGCCTTGTCCCACCCCTGGAAGCTTGGAAGAGTGCCCCATGCACAAGCACAGACAGTGAGATGAGGACGACAAGCAAGGTGTTTGTGGGAGGCAGTGTCATGTTGCCTGCAGCGCTGGCTTAGCTGGGGTGAGAGTCTGTCCTTGCCTGGCTCCTTAGAGGCACCCCTCATCTGTCTCAGGGCATCTCCAAAACTGCTCTGCTCTACAAATACACTCTAGGTTTTCCAAAGAAAGCTTAAGGTTATAAAGACCGGGACAGATATCACTACAAAAAAAACAACTTCAAGTAGATCCCACATTATAAACTAGAAAACTGGAAAGAAGAGAGACCTGGCTATAGATAATACTCTTTGTACCACGCCCAGGGAGTATCCGTGGGATACTCCAAACAGGAGCTCCTGAAATTTCAGAGTTGCATGATTTGTATGGTCATGCCTTAAACATCAAAACAAAATTTCTTCCCATCTAATTTGCTTTTTTGGTACTGGGCTTTTCAAAGTTGAAATAAAGAAAAGATAGAAAACACATTCACAGATGATATTCAAAACCACTGATGAAGGAGTTTCATTCCTTTTTTCTTTTAATTTGCCTCGCATTAAAGTCCTCTCGTAACTTGACAGTGGGGTGACTAAAATACCCAGTGTATCTTAGTGAAAAGCTATTTTTAAAATCACTTGATTTAGAAAACTCCAATCATGGTAATTTCATGGGGATTCTTAGTACACAAATTAAAAGTTCTAAATTGCTCTGCAAGAATTTGTGAGTTCAAATAATCTTAATTAGGAAAGCCCTACCTTGATGCATATTTATCAGTTGTTTTTAACATCTGCCCTGATACAAAATTATTTTGAGGATTGCTCTATGAGTTATAGCTCCCGTGGTCAGTAATAGCAGTAATGATGCAATATGAGACGAGGAGCCAGAAGTGTGATTCCAGTCTTGCCTGACTCTGCCACTCTTCATCTCTGGATCCTGAGAATGTCACTTAACTTCTCTCAGTCTGTTTCCTCCTGTCCAAAGAGGAAACACAGTTCCCACCTCAAAGTGTTGTTTCATGGATCAATGGGATTTCGGTAAACCACAAGGCACCATAATATAGCATACTATTAAAACCGTGTTCTGTACAAAAATGCCACGTTAATCACTGTAGGACATTTCTCTTAATTCCGGTCCCTTATTCTGCAAGAGGTTTTAAAAAATAAATCAGACTCTACAGGCAAATATATACATATATATACATATATATATATATACACACACACACACAATTTATATATATATATATTAAAATTACAAACCAAATGTGGTGGCAGTGTGGCTCAATGAGAAAAGTGCACGTCTAGTCTGGTGCAAAAGGGAATCTACTTGGCTGATGTGGCAACTTTGCCAACTCATGACCCTCGGTTCTCTCATTTGAGAAATGAAATAAGAAGTCTCCGATTACGAATGATGTGGGAATTAGAAAAAAATATATATGTAAGGCCTCTAGCAGGACAGGCACACAGTAGGTGCTCAATACATGGCACCCATTTCACATCAAAGAAGCCATTTAATTAAGCCGAGTATGCCGTGCGTCTCCACACTCACAACAGCTGAGCAGTGTTCTGCGCAGAACAGTACATCCATTAGCAGAGTCCCAAATAAACCTTGGCCAGGGCCAGAGCCCTGGGTTTATCCCACTGGAGACTCCAGCAGATTAAGGCTGTGCTCGCTGCATTCGCGTTTCCTGCTTTAGACCGCTATTTTGTAAAGATGTACTAATGGAACCTCAGCTGGGAAGAATAAAATTAATGCGAACCAATAGGGCAACTCCAAGGGCAGAATTTTTCCAAACCTACTTTTTTTTTTTTTTTTTTTTTTTACTAAGATGAACTACTTCTCTGTTCGTCACTTATTTAGGGATAGGGGTGGGGCCCAGGGACGAGGATAAGGAAAAAGCCGAAGTGAATCTGCTGTTGTTACGGGGGAGAACTGGTCAATTGGATCCAAATAAACAGCCTTTGGCCTCCCCAGGTCCAGAGCGCGTTTAGAGTCAGGCCGGTTGGAGGCGTTTGGAGCAACCAGCAGGACAGCGGGCGCAAGTCCTCGGGCGCCCGGCCTGGCCCCGGCAAACCCAGCGCGGCAGGCAGCCGGCACCGCGCGGAGGGCGAGTTAGCGGCGTGGAGCTGGGGAGGGGCGCATGCAGCTGGGTTAGTGGTGACTCGACCATGCGGCTCGGCATTCCTGCTCGGCAAACGCGCTTAGGCAAAACAGACTTGATGCTTACAAGGATCCCAGCCCAAAATGGAGTGTCTCTGACTAGCAGGGAGGGGCTGATGCTCGCCATGAGGAAGCCCACCACGGTCACGGCGATGCCCAGGGCCAGCTGCAGCAGGGCGAGCAGCAGCGGGAACCGGCAGCCGCAGCACGTCCGGGCCTCCTCCTCCCCGCACTCCTTGGGGGCCCCCGTGCCCTTCTTCGGCCCCATGTCGTCGGGCCCGGCGGCGTCCCCGGCCGGCGGCCCCCCCTGCCTCCGCTGGCCGCGGGGCTGCCGGTCCTTGCCCATGGCGGCGGCGTGGGTGGGACCGTGCGTGTGCGGCGCGCACTGGGCCCCGAGCGGCGCTGGGCGGGCTGAGCCTGCCCTGGTATTCGGATTACGGAGGCTGAACAAATATGGAAAACATTTGGAGCCGACTGGCCGGGCCTCCAGAGGCCACAGGGAGCCCGCAGCACAGGGGGGGAGTCGAGGGGGGTCGCCAACTGCCAACGCGCTGGGACGCAGCGCCGGCTGGGCCCGCGGGCAGGGTTTGCCCAAAGCCCGTGGGAGCCGGCGCGGGTGCCTTGGCCTCTTCAATCCTTTAAACAGGCGGGCTGCTTGGGGGGCGGGGGACGGGGGAGAATGTCTGTTGTCATCATTCCAAACCCCAAGGTTTTTGTTTTTGTTTTTTTGTTTTCTGAGAGGTGCAATGCAAGGTGACGAATGTTTAAATCATTTCAGTTTAATTAATAGACAGTTTAATCTAAAATAGGCATCGCTGGGCTCCAAGCTGTGAAATCGTTTCCAGGAGCTAAACTGTTTCTTTCCCAACAAAGGCACGGGCTCTTTTTCTTTTTTAAGTTCTGCAATCCAACTGACAAAGGCGTTTCTCCCATTGAGGTATTTGCTGTTGAAATAACTGTTTATAGAGATGCTGGGCTCATTGTGAACTCTCTCACATGTACTTCTTTTTAAAAAGCTCTTTTAACTGTTTATGTGGAGTCCCCAGCCAGTCTTCACTAATTTCCACAACCGTGCCTGGGGGGGGGTGGGGGGGGGCGGGGGACGGGGGGTTATTATGCACCTAGGACTCCCGCATTTGTCTCAGTCTACATTAGGAAATTCTAAAAGCACCTACAGTGCGCGACAATATTAAGGATGTTCAAGACAGAATGTGGCCCCTGCCCAAAGTCATAGAACTAATCAATAAAACTGATTCTTCTTATTCCCACATACTTCTCGGTAGCACTTAGAATTTCAGTGCAACCACTAAGAAATGATCCCTTCACTTTGGAGTATTTATATATCACATTGGTATGGTCATGTGAACAATCAGAACGCTGTATTAAAAAAATAATGATGTTGCCAAGATACTAGAATAGATACTCCTAGATTGTTCTATCTCAGCACATTTAAAGTCTAACTCTGCTCTGTTTCCTCAGAATTATACCCTAATTGTCATCAGCTCTCCTTGAAACAGCCTAGTTAGTCCACACAAAGGTACCTTTGAAGACATAAAATATATTATTCCTTATGTTATGAATGTCATTGTTTTCCTTCCACCTTCCTTCTGGATCAGTGAGAAAAAATAAGGTCCGTGGAACACATTGCAGTAGCTTGGGAAGCAGAATTCAAACGGCGGCCCCCCTGTTCCCCCTAGAGCAGCAGAAGCAGCCCTCAACCTGAGGAGTTGCACTGACATAGGGTCACTGTCAGCTGCTTTGGGGCCATTACACCATTAGGGTTTCTAGGGAGAACAGACAAGAGCTGCTGTTACATAAGTTACCCACCTGATTTGGGCATGACTGAGAACAAAACAAACGACGAAACAGAACAATACTTACTTTTTTCAATGTAAATATACTAAACATTTTTAGGAAGCTAACTGACCACCTGGCATTATTTGTTAGCATGAATAATATAGCTCCCAAATACTGAGTATCTATTCTATTCTGTAACAAACACATGCTAGGTGCTTTACATACCTTACTGTTACTCCTTAGAAACACCTTATAATTACAGTTTCCACTTTTAAAGATGCAAAATGAATATCGGAATTATTAAGCAACCAGATTAATAAGTCACACTCCTATTTGGGGATGGAGGTGAAGGTAACCAAATGTGAACTCTTGTGAATTACCTATAGGCCAACAAATGGGTGTTAGGCTGTTTAAATTGTTCGTGATTTAAAACAATTTAATGATCATGGGTAGTATTTCATCTATCATAGAATTAGCTATTGGCCTTGAACCTATAGCTACCTGAGAACTGTACAAAAATATCTTGATTCACCACCATAATATACAGGGTGGGCAACAGTAGGCTTACAGTTGTGAGTACGCAAAAACAGTTTATTCTTGTATTATTATTTATTGATTATTGTATTATTTGTTTATATTACAACTGTAAACCTACTGTTGCCCAACCCTATATACAATCATTGATGGAGACCATTATTCCTATTACAAATATATAACTAGATACAGGCTCTATTGGTTAACCATACTGCTGGGCTGTCATTTAGTTAAGAATAAAATATCCCTATTCCTCAAAACCTTAAGTTAGGTATAAATTAGAATAACACAAAATAATAGGATGCTCCTGTAGGTTTGTCTTTTAAGTTTCAGAACTAGTGAGGCTCACAGTTATAAAACAGTTGTACATACTTTCTTTTCTAAAGCCTTCCTTTTAATTGCCTAGCTGCGACAAGTTACAAATGAAACCAGTAGCAGTGAACAAGAGCCCAGATAAATTGTAATCCTGACTCCAGTGTTCAGCTTCCGGGGAAGCAGGCAGCGGTATAGGGGTTTCCCACCTGCTCAGATTTCCGGCTGCATGCTGGAATCTGGGCCTGAGGGCTTGATCTTTGGCGATACCATGAGATGATATTGATGAGGACAATATTTTCACTTAATTCATACAGGAAAGTAAAAACAAAGAACAGGGTGAGGAAAGTTGTCCAAAGGTTACTGATAGAGAGTAATCAGGGCTAAAATGGGATCAAAAGGTCCTTACGGATACAGAGGGGAGAGCGCTCCCTTTAATATATCTTTTTCTATGAGAAAAACCACCGTTTCCAGCTTTTCACATAGTTTAACAGAAATGAACATGGCTTCTTTAGTATTCATAAATTCCAACGCCTCTCTTTTATAGGGTAAGCAATAACCTCTTCAGATATTTATATTACCGGGAAGAAAGGCAAAGTAGAAACAAAGTGTTTTTCAGATACTCTATTGGCTGCTCCTATAACTCAAAAATGACAGAGATTATAAATTAGAAAGTGCAGGAGAGTAGTCAACATAAAGGATTTGAGATTATTTTGATCCTCTGGGGAAAATAACAAAATTAAGCTTAGTATCTCTCTTTGCTGTATCTCAATTTCAACATTATTTCGAACTGTTTCTGCTTTAGAAGTTCAGAACTGGGATGATGATAACTCTTTTTAAAACTAGTGTCATTAACAAAATGGCCTTGGGAAATCCACCTGAAAATAATCTCCAAACCCACATATTTCTGAACACATGATCTTTGACTCACCAAGAACAAAATAAAGATTTCATGGAAAAATTATTACAGTTCCAAAGTCTATATCAAATCTCTTTAATGTGTAGTTAAATATATCAAAAATGCTCATTCAGATTTGATTTAAAGAAGTATCAGACACTCCACAGAGAACAACTGAACTCACCATTGGCTCATATGTCTCACTGGCCTCCATACATGAGTCTAGAAATATTGCTGATCTGTGTGTGTGTGTGTGTGTGTGTGTGTACAACAAATAACTCTCTATTCTTTTCCTTTTTTTAATTTCTGTGTCATTAATTCTAACTGTGTCTTTTGGCTCAAGTTTCTTCTCAGAATAATTGACCTATTTATGATTTTTTGCATAACAGTTCGTATTTTCAAGTTAAATGTCTTAGGGGCAGTGTACTCACTATGGTCA